GGGAGGGCAGGGTGAGGTGGAGGGTGAGTGTTTGGGAGGGCAGGGTGCTATGATGATTTGTCAAATGTTTATCAGCCTTGAAATCCTGATGCATGGGATAGTAGAGTTCTAAATCCTGAGCTGTGCAATCCCTAAATGTATTGATGATTACTGTGCACACAGTTTAATTTTATTATTATTTTTTTCTCTAGGGAGTGCCAGGTGAAGCACTGGTCAAAACACAAGAAAGCCTGTGACCTGCTGGCTGTTGCTGCAAAACAAAACTGAATGAGGAATTAGAAATCAGTTGGTGGAAGCCAAACTGGTGAGCACCTGGCTACTCGGCTATTTGGCACTGAGCAGAATGATACAGTCCCAACCTTGACACACTACATTGATGTGTACTCGGCACTCCGATTAACATACAAAGTGTGATATTTAGAATAGCCTAACTGTATGGAACGTCTGCGTGTTCAGGAGGCTAATAATTAAGTAAAGGCTAACTGGTAGGGATTATTTTTAAAATATAATTTTTGAAACAACTTAAATCTGTAATCTCCTATTGTCATGCTTTAAATGCTGTTTGTCAGTGTGAACGTAGAAGAGCATCCTAACTCAAACTTTGAATTTATTGCTGTTACAAGAAAGTTTGTTGAGCCAACTGAAAAGTTACTCTTGTGAAAATATTCTCTTTTGTTTTTTGTGTTTATCTCCTGACACCGCATGTGCCTGTGATGAACTGCTTGTACTGTTGTTTTTATAAAGTACCATTTGTAGCTTTTTTTGCCGTGACCTGGATAGGGGTCATACCAGCTCTTCTTAGCACATTGGGATCAGGAAAATGGAGCTCATACTGAAATGCACAGTATTTCAATTGTGCAGAGATACTATGGAGATCTGATCGATTCAGTTTCTTCCAACTATCAGCATCTTAAGTAACTGTGTGTGAGAGATACTCAGTATCTTTAAAAGCCTTGTGCTAGTGCCAGCTTGACTGTCACTGAGCTAGAGTGAAGAAAACAAGGCATGCTGGGTGTATTCACTGCTACCAGCCACCACTTTTTTTTAAAAGACAGTTAGCAACAACGATGCAATTCATAGAAGTACGCTTGATTTTTAATGTAACAATCATATGTTTTACTGAGATACTCTAGTATCTTTGTCTTTAGTCCCGCTATAGAAATTGAAGGAGAAACATACTTGTAACAGGGAGTGTGAATGAGTTTTATTTTATTCAATGCCTGCAAGTAAGGGCTCACCATGAGCTGCTGTGGAAAATTTGGACACAGACAGGCTAATCTCTCACGGCCCAGACTAAATACAAGACTTGAACCATTGCTTCATGTGCATATAAAAGGTTGAATGATGCATATCGCAGTTCCAGATATCAGGGTTACTTTTCTTTATTGGAGTGTTACTGGTATTTTTGAATGTTGTTTGTTCAAGTTTTGACTTTGCAATAGAAGAAAATTTACAAATCCTGGCAGTTTCAGTTGTTGAATGGTAACGTGCTTCAGAGGAAACTTTGCTTTTGAATTTGGTCACCTGTAGTTAGCACTGCTGACAGTGGCCATTAAATCTCTGCTGTCTTACTGTCTGCTGTGTAAACTTAAAACTGGACTGGATAAAAATGAGTCTGTTTCTTAGTTGTAAAGTTTTTTGATTTGTCCATCACACACGATCATCCAAAACTTTCTAACCACAGTGTTTGTTTCCTGGCCTGGCATGCAAAGAGCCAGCAGAGAATGTATCACCATTGATACTAGCTGCCCCACAACATTCAAAAGAACTTTCATTGACTGGACATGGGACTTCCATTCCTCATCTCAGAGCTGCTGGCCAATCTGGCCACAAATTCCAGAAGCTGCAGTGGATAGGACTGGGATGACATGTGATTACAGAAGTCTAAATCCCGGAGACTAGGAGCAGGTAAGTGTAGGTATCTTCAGGCAGGGAGAAGAGATTGGGGAGGGTTTACTGAAAAGGAGTGAGTGTTGGAGCAGAGGCTGGGGAAGAGCACCCTTGGTGGAGGAGAATGGTAGGAGGAAGATGATGGGCGAGGAAGATGATGGGCATCCCCTTCCATTTACGCCTGAAACCTCAGCAGGGTTTCTGGGCTTCACCCAGAATCCATCCTGCTAGCCTGGAAATGAAGGCTGGATGGAAAATAGCTGTGAAGTAGTCCTTAATTGGCTACTTATGAGCATTAATTGGGTCAAGGACAAGCTGGCCAGACTAGGTGGGAGGGTACTCAGAAGGCCATCCAAGGTATTTTCCCCCATCCCCACCAACCTGCAAACCTGCCAGTGGGACAATGTAAAATTCTGTCCCCATTTCAAAATGTTCAGAAAGCAAATTATTTTGTGATGACATCAAGTGTAGAACCATTTCTAGTTTTGGTGATAGTTTATAATTTCACGTGGAACTAGCAATTTATAAGGATCTGGTAATGTGTAATTTTCCCTCATTAAAAGCTCTCAACATCAGGATCTAGTTAAGTGTGTGTATGTTTGGTCTAGATCATGGAAGTTGACGGAAATTTTAAGATCTAAGTCTCGCTTGAGCTTCAAGATCACCGTGCCACCCCACAGTCTGTGGACAGAAAATAGAGGCTTGATCTGATGAAGAGAGGAGCTCACAAATCAGATCAACAATTTGCACAATTAGACTTCAATGTCCTTTTGAAATAAAACCAAAAACTCTCATATCTATGCCAAAGTATGTTGGTTTTCTTACCACAAACTGAAAATGCTGTACTTCCCAGCTGGTTGTTAAAGCATCGGTCGACTAATCTGGTTTCATGTTTTCTTCATTAGAATGTTCGTGATCAAAGGTAAGGAAAACTAGAAAACCACAGGATTACCTTTCACTTCGAGAGCTTTGTAGGTCAGAATCACAAAATTGTTTCTTCATGAAAACAAATAATTACCTAAGTGTCCCTCTCTAAAATGTTTTGTCATTCTGATTATCATTAATTATTCTGCACTCCCTTTCAGGAAGCCTTGGAAGTTACAGCAGTGTCGCACCACTTTTGGAAATTCAAGTTTTGCTTTAAACAATGTAATATATGTGTGCAATGAACCCAAATTGGCGCCAGCCTGCTGGAAGCCCTCCATATTCTAGATAACTACAGTTGGTACACAAGTTGTGATCAAGTTGCTCAGGCTTTTTACATTGATCTCTTATTGATAACATTAGCAAGTGTCAAAGAGGAATCGTTCCTCAAGATTTGTTAGTGCTGAGTCCATGGCTTGTCCAGTTTCATAAGCCAGAGGCTGAGAGCCTTGCTGCCACAAAGAAAACAAATATGATGGCAAAAGAAAACATTGCAAAACGCCAGCCTTCTTTGCACTCCTGAGTTTCACTGCTCTTATGTGACTGTGATTAAATAAACTGACTACATACTGGGGACTCTGTCTTGTTCAATTCCCTGTGTTCCCCAGTCAACTGCTGAGCTGAAGCCTGATTGCACAAAGTTCTGGCCAGTCAGAGCCCAGACATAATGATTGTGGAGAAGATCTTGGCTGAGAAACCAACCTTCCCACCCATGCATAGGATGGTGTCTGTGTTCATGAGGCCCCATGAAGGGGAGAAAACAGGAAAGAAAAGAGTGTCATGCAGACTGGAAAAGTAAAGGACTGCATTTTAAACTGATTAACATTTACCCCACCCATCCCCTAGTCACTGCATTATGTCACTGCAGTGCTCTGTTTGGATCTTATTTGAATTTATGGTCTCTGTTTAAACAATGATATAATGAGTCATTCAGTATGTACACATAATTTTACTCTTCTTTCAAAAATCTGTTGGCAGCCTGAGTACTCCTGAGATCTTGGGTGGAAAAAAGGATGCTGGATAAGTTGCAGATGCTGGGAATGGGGGCCAAATAATTATAGAACTAAATATCCAATAGCAAAGAAAACAATTGGAAAGAGAGAATGAGGAAAAGACATTACAAAGATGATCAAAACTACTAGGAACGCAGAATAGAGAAGACAGAAATGTCATGCATACACTTGTAAATGCCCTTCACCTACAACTGTCCAGTCTTATTGCTAGGAATCGAATAGTGTAGTCTGTCCCTACTTCCTGTTTCCAGCATCAATGGTTGTGATTATTGTTGAGGAACCCCAAGAATTCTGAGATAAAGTATTTTTGTAGGAAAATGTGTATTTTCAAATAACTGGCGAGACTATTTTTAATGATAAATTCAAGTAGGAATATGGAATGAGCTGCTTAACAGGGACTCTTATGATGGTGACTCAGTATCATTTGTCTGTAGGTCATGAGTAATTTCTTGGACTATGTTGGGATTTAGTGTGTCAACTCCAGAATGTGCAACACTGAAACAATTATTAACTTGTTAAAATTAAATTTAATCTGTGAAAAGGCCAGTTCCTCCCCTTCTTGCCCACACTCTGACTTTTGCCAGAACAAGTTGTAGCCCTCCAATATTTTGTTTTGGCGATCTTTATTTATATATGTGCCAGCACGGGGTGTTCACTTTTTTTTATAGAATCCCTACAGTGTGGAAACAGGCCCTTCGGCCCAACAAGTCCACACTGACCCTTGCAGCATCCCACCCAGACCCATCCCCCTATAACCCACACACCCCTGAACACTATGGGCAATCCACCTAGCCTGCACATCTTTGGTCTGTGGGAGGAAACCGGAGCACCCGGAGGAAACCCACGCAGACACGGGGAGAACGTGCAAACTCCGCACAGACAGTTGCCCAAGGCTAGAATCGAACCTGGGTCCCTGGCGCTGTGAGGCTGCAGTGCTAACCACTGAGCCACTTGAGAAAGGTATTATGCCTAAGTCAGTACGTAATCTTGTTTGGCATGTCCTTTCCAGGAACATTACTAGATTATGGGCAGCTGCAGAACCATCTCACTTTCTTTTTCCTCCATTACCTCAAGCTGTTTAGACACTTACCACTGTAATGAAAGTAAGTTGGTGCAAAGTTGATGTAACTGAATCTCCAGCAGGAGGTGGTAATGTGAGAGGTGACGAGGAGCAGGAGAGCTCAAGCAGTTGTGCTGGGACCTCCACCAGTAGGTGGTGAAGAAGAAGAAGTGAATCTAGACCAGTTTCATAGTCCATCTCTCGAAAGAAATAGTGGGAAGAAGGAACAGACAGACAAAGAATTCTTCAACCCAATTCATTCATTCCATGAATAGGTTTAAGCTTAACTTTCCTTCATGTTTGTAATGACCTGATGCTAGTAGAACAAATAATCCCGGCTTGTTGATCTTTGGACCTTCCATATGTTTAATTCTCATGTTATACTGAAATAAAAATAAAGTTGGAAATACTCTAGATATCATGTCTCTGAAGAATCCAAAAGACTTGTTATAATCCATTTTTTATATATCTATAAGCATTGCATTCACAGATGCATATTTGTCTGGGCTGAAATTAAGTTATTATGTTATGCACTTCTAATTGAGTGTCAAGCTTCATGTGATTTCTGTTAAGGTTGAGTATCTAAACTTTATACTTTAAGTTACATTCTGTGATACATTGGCAATATCATTAGCATGTTATTTAATGTTTATTGTGACATAAACGCCACAAGATATAACACAAGTAGGTCCTTTAAGAAATACACAGAAGATTAAATACTTTGCCTCCCTTGCATACTATTGCACTCCACAACATCCCCGCCCCCATCAAAACCTGGCCTTCAGTTCCAGTTCCACTCGCTGCACCCCAAAGTGTAACTTTGGGGTCATTACAAGGGGAAGTGCTGACCAGACTAACACTTCAGTCTGCATTACAGCAACAGTCCTTAGGATGAGACACTGAACTGAGGTCCACAATTGGGATATGATGGCTAAAATCTCATGATTTCTGCGTCAATGTTCCTCTCACAACTGATATCACTAAGAGCAAATAATTGGATTATTCTCCTGTTCGAAGTTCGTAGGAGCTTTTGGTATTTTCCAACTGAACAATTGTAATTACACTTGTAAAAGTAGTACATAGAAGATTCAGAAAGAGCTATATAAATACAAGGTGCATGAATAGTGAGACAGATGATCCTTCCATTGTTTAGAACGTGAGAATTGAAATCACATTTCACTTGTTCCATCAGAAGTATGTAGAATGGAATGGAAAAGTAGATGGAAGGCCTGGGAAACTAACAGAATCTGTGGGTGCAGACCTGGACTCTCAAGCAAAGACTGCATAAGATGTATCAGGCTACCTGAGGGATGGATAAGCCTTGGAGGAAGTGATGCAAAATAATTCTTAAGGAAGTCTATCACATGTTTAAAATATTAAATACTAACCATATTTCTGCATGTTACAGCTGCTGCAGAATCACAAACGCTCCGTGGTTGATGTTTTAAATATATGGTGATTGTTTTTGTTGGATGTGGGCATCACTGGCTGGGCCAGGATTTATTACCTGTCTCAAGTTGTCCTTGAGAAGCTGGTAGTGATCTATCTTCTTGAACTATTGCAGTCTACGTGTTATAGGTTGACCCACAATGCCCTTACAGAGGTAATTCCAGGATTTTGACCCAGCAATAATGAAGGAATGATGATATATTTCCAAATCAAGATGGTGAGAGGCATGGAGGGGAACTTGCAGGAAATGATGTTCTCATGTAGCTGCTGCCCTTGTCCTTCTAGATAGAAGTGGTTATGAGTTTGGAAGATGCTGTGTAAGAATCTTTGGTGAATTTCTGCAGTGCATCTCATAGATAGTACACACTGCTGCCACTGAGTGTTGGTGATGGAGGGAGTGGATGCTTGCGGATGTGATGCCAATTGATTGGATTGCTTTGTTTTGGATAGTATCAAACATTTTGGGTGTTGTTGGAACTGCACTCATCCAGGCAAGTGGGAAGTATTCCATCACACTCCTGATTTGTGCATTGTCAATGATAGACAAGCTTTTGGGAGTCAGGAGGTGAGTTACTTGCTGCAGTATGCCTAGGCTCTGACCTGCTCTCAGTCACTGTGTTAACGTGGCAAGTCTAGCTGAGTTTCTTGTCAGTGGTAACCCCAAGGATGTTGATAGTCGAGTATTCAGTGATGGTAACACCACTGAATGTCAAACAGCAGACAATGTCTGGCATTTGTGTGGTGCAATTGTTACTTGCCATTTGTCAACCCAAGCCATGATTTTGTCCAGATCTTGGTGCATTTGAACACTGACTGCTTCAGTATCTGAGGAGTCATGAATGTTGCTGAACATTGTGCAATCATTGGCAAACATCCCCACTTCTGACCTTATGATGGATGGAAGGTCATTGATGTGCTGGATACTATCAAAGTATTCACTCATTCGTGAAATTGAAGTGTAATCAATAAACTGATAGCAGTTGTATCAGCACATTGTTAACTGCTTGTGAGTTGCAAGGCAGTTTTTCATCTACAACTTGCAGCTACATGTTTAGCATTTTAAAATGGCCAAATAAAATGAGCTTTGGAAAAACAGGGGGAAGCAGTAAATCTTTGTTTGCAAACTGAATCCTTTCAAAGCCAATGCAGGTCTTTCTTGCAAAAATAAAACAAAACCTAACTCACATACTTATTTTACCATATTAATGGAGGATGGGGCATCTCTGACATGAGCCACTTGTACTACCTATCTCTGAATACCCATGAAATCCGTGATGGTGAGCCATCTACTTGAATATAAATGAATGTCTAGCTGATCTGTTTTGAGAGGGCAGTTAAGAGACAACCAGAGCCAGGTTTGGTAAGAACACAGATTTCCTTCAGCGAAGGTCATTCGTGAACCTCTCAGGTTTTTACGACAATCCAATAATTTTGTGGTAACCATCACTAATACAGGCTTTTATTCCATATTTATTTCATTGAATT